AAGTACTATATTTTAGATGGGGGAGTAGGCTTGTTTTATTTCAACTAAAATACCTCCTTGGTACAAATTAAATAGTATGCATTGAAAAATACTCACTCTGTCCACAAATACAAGCGACGTTTTGTTTCGGAATTTGATTTTTAGAGTATTGCTTTTTTTTAACCCATCCAACAACTGCATTTGTTGCTCCATGCATTTGCTAGACGCCATCTTTCCTCCTAGGACATTAAAGTAATTTCAGGTTAACCTTAAACTCTATTAAACAACCAATAATTCCTTATGCTTGTGGACGGAAGGAGTATTATGAAGCCCATAAATCAACATAAATATTATCTTCATTGACAAGAAATCCTTATTCAAAGTATAGAAATATTCTTTCTTTTTTCTTCATGCACAAATTAAGTAAAAGATGAGAAAAGATTAGATATCCATATATGCTCCACACAATTGGATAGCATGCATGTAAGGTGCTGCAAATGGGAAAAACCTTTTTTTTGCTGCATGTATCCAACTGATCCATACAAAGTTGGGGGAAGAATATATATCTAGATGTGCATTTCAAGTTTTCAACTTTCAAGTTGATATGAGGTCCATATAGCCCCGGCCTGCAGTGACAAACTTTGATCAGGGGCATCTGTTTGGATAGCAGCAACGTACGCATCTCCAAGACACCGACCGGCTAGGATTTGAGAACGCGGGCTTGAGAATTGAAGAGCTCTCCGTCCAGGTCCCACACACGTACGCACGCATGCCAGCACGTGTGGATGCTTTGCCACAATGTGCTACGATTGTGACCCCAACAATGTAGCCGGCCATCTTCTTGTGGGCTTGAATAATATTCCTGCTTCAGGGAGAAGCAGAGTGTGCTTGCTGCATGCATGAGACCCTCTTTAGATGGGACTAAAACTTTTTTAGTCCCGGCCCTATCGCATCGGATGTTTGGACACTAATTATAAATATTAAACGTAGACTATTAATAAAACCCATTCTATAACCCTGTACTAATTCGCGAGATGAATCTGTTGTGCCTAATTAATCCATGATTAGCCTATATGATGCTACAGTAAACATGCGTTAATTATAGATTAATTAGGCTTAAAAAGTTTATCACGCGAATTAGCTCTCATTTATGTAATTGATTTTGTAAATAGTCTATGTTTAATACTCCAAATTCATCCGATATGACAGGGACTAAAGTTTAGTCCCTGGATCAAACACCACCTCGCCTTGGCATCGACAACAAAGCTTATAGTGTTATATGGGTTATTCATTTTTTTATGGCAAATGTTACTAAGGTTGTTTGTTTGGCATACCCACAATTCCAAAACTTGCCATATTTTATTTAGCTAATTAACATGCCTAACATATGACCAACAAAATTGAAGCCACACTTCAACCATAGGAGAGCAAGCTTACCACACTTTTTTGTGCCAATGACATGTGGGACCCACATCATGATGAAGGAATCTTATCATAAGTGTGGCACGAATCAAACAGATGCCTAACTTTAGTCAAACTTGGCTAACTTAAGTTGTGGCAAGGTGATGCAAATTGTGGTAGTGAACCAAATAAAGGACACTCAAATTCCGTAGTATTTACTATTGGTCACATGAAAAATGTGATGTGGTAGAACACCGAAAAAACTATAATTTGATAGGGACACCGTATCTAATATTTTATCATTTTCAAGCCGAATGAAGAGAGAAACCTTGTGAAAGAGATAAGTTTGCTCCTTCGAACCAGACCCAGACCACATATTCCCTTCTCCAATCCCATGCATGAAAATTGGAGGCGACGACGATATCCATGGCAACGGCTATTACAAGGTGTTGGCCACTTGGCCTGGGGGAAACTTATCCTCTCTAATATTTACCTGTTTTTTTAGGTTTCCTACAACCATATCATGTATTTGGGTGTACAGCCGTAAAAGCGTCATGTATCAAAATTTACTTTTTTATGGATAAAATTTCTATAGCTCACAATTGCAAGCTTGATCATCGGCGGAAAACTACTTGATGTGCATTCCAAATTAAAATCCCTTTCACAAAAGTGTTCGACCAGCAACGCCACTGATATCGTGCAGTGGGAAGCTTAATTAGCTATAATTCTGTTGATGGATATTTCATGATTAACTAAGCAAAAAGAAATGTGCCACGAAATCTCATTACTCACGTTTAAAGAAACCACTACATTATCTGCCCTAAAATTTATCGCATTGCGTCACAAACCTAGGATAAATATTAAAAGAGTAAATTTCATAAACCCACCTATTACGGTCCAGTTGAACAAAGTCATAAACATTTTGACACATGCCACATAACCCCAGATATTATGGTCCTAAAGTTTCGCAAACCACGTCATTAACCAAATTGGCATACTCCTATATCAAAATTTTAAAAGGTTTTACTTACATGGATGTGACATTTATATGAGGATAAATAACTCATAAATTTGAAATTTGATTATAGAACTCAAAAGTGTGGTAGACCAAAATCAAAATTATTAATATGTGGTTTTGTAAAACTTTATAGCCATAATACCTAGTGTTATGTGCCATGTGCCAAAACCCATATTGTTTTGTGCAACTTAGACCACAATATCTAGGGTTATGTGAAATTTTCTCATATAAAAATAAGGAGGAATAGTGATTTTTCATAGCAGCTTGTTAATACTATATTTCACAAATGAAATTGAATTTGGTAGTACAATTTTGTAGGTTCTCTAATATCATCTTAATTATCTATATGTGTGATTCTTTTAAAAACTTCTATGCAATGGTTTTAAAAACAAGTTTACACTCAAGCCGTGGTTTCCACTCCATATTTTCCAACAATTAAAGATAAGGTAGGCCAAATCATATATCATCAAACAGCGAGAAGGCAAAAGGGGGGCAAATCCTCATGAGTTTGCATACTGGAAATTAATGGTAGATCCTCATCCAAACCGTCAAACTACCTTGAAATAAAATCAGATGCTCTTTTATTCCTTGTATTACCAACTTCTTAATCAGATTAATAAACAAAAAAAAATTCTCACATGTGCTTGTGGCTGGAGTCTTTCCAGCAGCATGAAAAAGGAGGATGGTAGAGCCACTATACAGAAACACTGTTTGCTGACAGCAACGTTGAACTGTCGCGGAGAGCATTGCAGCAAGCTACTAGTCTTCAGAGAGATATTTCATCGACGTGGAATTACGCCATATTCAACAACGCCACCGATCGATGTCTAAATGGGAAAAAGAAAATACTGAGCGCTTGGTTCAGCTCCCATCATAGTCGAAAGCGATCTTGAGTATTAAAGTTCGATTTTTGAAAATGATTTTGGTAATGTTTCACACCTGTACGTGTGCTCTTAGCATTAGCAATCATGGAATAAAAACAAGACAACGAAAGAAACAAATATAGGGGGCATTTAGATCCCACCACAAAATTTTACACCCTGTTACATCGAACGTTTGAACACCTGCATGAAGTATTAAATATAGGCTACAAAAATAACTAATTGCACAGATTGTAACTAATTTGCGAGACGAATCTTTTAAGCATAATTTCTATTATTTGACAATGTGGTGCTACAGTAAACATTTGCTAATGGCGGATTAATTAGGCTTAATTAATTCGTCTCGCGGTTTACTGAAGGATTCTGTAATTAGTTTTTTTATTAGTGTCCGAACACCCCATGTGACACCCTATATAATACCCGATGAGACACGCCAAAACTTTATACCCCTGAATCTTAACACCCCCATAACCCCCCTAGAACTAGTTTAAAAAGCTAAAAATCACATATCAGCTTCAAGTTAAAATTCGTATAGCTGAACCAAGTGAGAAATAACATGGTAGTACGTATTTGTCTGCATCCCGGCCCACTGAATTAGCCTTTGAAGTTTCGAGATGAAAATCTAGATACACAAAAAACAAAATTAAATATTGAGAATTTAATTATGCCCCATTTTCTCCACATGTCCCCAGTTTGTGTGTGTGCCCCCAGACACAGCATCTCACAACCACCTGTTGCCATCATTCTTCAAATTATATACATATCACAGTGATTCAGCTGGTATCACTGTCCCAATAACGACAGAGGGAAGGTAATTAGTCACGTGTGTTTATGAACGGCTACAGAACGTTAAGCAGCGACAAGATGAGCCTAGCCATTTGCCGTGGTGAAAGGCATACAACTGGACCACACATGCACCTCGCCAAATCGTCCACAGGTTTGGTGTTGCAAGAATTATTGATGAGGCCGGCTTTAGCTATCCATTGGCTATATGGCTACCTCTGCTAGCTGTGTGTCCGAGCAGAGGTTATTCTTTTCTTTTTTATCCTTACAGCTGTGCAGTAAATTAAGCCAGTAACAAATTTAATTGACTGGGCTCCGCCTGGCAGTATTTTTTTTAATAAAAAGGTGCTGAGTCAGTACACTATTCTATTACAAACCAGTAAAACTAGTACACCGCGATATATAGCTTCCCCTTGCAGTTCGGTCAGTTTCTCAACGAGATCTCACAATTGAGACGCTCTCGAGATTTTCACCGATTAGCTAGAAAATTTGCTTATATTCAATTCTCATTATATTTTAAAATTAAGTTCTCTATATTAAATTATGATTTATCAAGAATTTGAATTTCTCTTTGCGAGATTTAGCATGATATCGCTATCTCGGGCGCACTCCCGAGATTTTGGGAGGAGAAAAAACCCTGCCTTAGAACTGGTTGCATTTCTAGGCTCTGATGTAAAATTATTGCAATGGATTGAATTTGTAAGATGAAGAGAGCATTTGTTGAAATGAAAAGGAAGAAAAGGCCAGCCGATGGTTGCCTCTTCAGATTATATAGCATTCATGGAAGAAAGAAATGCGAATTAAACCCCGTGTCAGTCAAAAATTTCATCATTAAACCGGCCGCCGACGGTTGCCTCTCCAGATAGCAAGGGCGAACACAATTGGTTTCAATCATTGATGAATTCGCAAATTAACCAGCAACACGAAAAGGAGACGAATTAAGATGAGATTAATTTCGTTTCATTGATCATCATATGAGATTTCCAGCAGTGACAAGAACACATATACAAGCAGGAATCCAGCCACACAGCCGGAGCCGGCGCCGAGAAAATTAACTAATCATCGATCATAGCTTCAGGGACAGGTCGATGTCGTCGGTGAGGAGGTCCCGGCGGCGAGCCTCCGCCGGCGGCGACGCCCTCTGGTACGACGACGAGGCATTGCCCGTGGGCTCCCTGGTGGTGGTGGTCCCTGCCCCTCGCCGCGCCTCCTCGTCGGCGGCCTGCTGGCGGCGCGCCGCGGCGAGCTCCCGGGTGCGCTTGGCGACGCTGCGCTCGAACTTGTGGGCGTTCTGGTGGCCGCCCAGCGCCTGCGACGAGTAGAACTTCTTGTCGCAGTAGGTGCAGGTGAAGTACCCCGGCGGCTCGTTCGCCTGCGACGGCTGCAGCGACAGGTTGAGGTCCAGCTGCTCATCCCCCTCCTCGCCGCCGCCGCCGCCGCCGTTGTACCGATCCATGGCTGCCGGCGCCTCCGGCCGCCGCCGCCGGGAGGAGCACCACCCGGTGAAAGGACCACCACCACCGCTAGTAGCTGCTACTCCTCTACCCTCCTGGGAGAAAGCCGAGAAAGTGGTGAGCATGGAGTGAGGCTAGCTTAGCTTAGCTTAGCTATCTTAGCTGCTGCTTCTGCAGCAAATCCCAAATGATGTAGTTTGTGCGAGAGAGTGTGTGAGAGAGATGCACGAGGAGGGATACGTATTACTAGCTCTCTCGCTCGCTAATTTATTAAGGAAAAAACGCTGGGGGCGAGGGGATTAACACATGTAGGGGGATCAGAGAGGGAGAAAAGAGAGGCTTCAAATTAAAGGGAATGAAAATGACAAAAGATTTCATTTGTCCATTGGTCGAATATAATATAGTGTCATAACTATTTATCGTCGCATGAGTAGACATGTCTATATCTAAACCTAATAAAAAATTCGTAAGGCTTCCGGTAGGAGGATTTTCGTCCGGCTTAGTCCGCCGCCCACGTCGCGCGCACCTCTCCAAATCCCAAATCATCATAATCAAACTCAAAAACAGAATCCTAATCTAAATCAGAATCATCACAAAATCATCCAAAATATTAAAATTAACACAAGAGATAATGACAGGAGAGGGAGGGGTGAGCAGGAGGTCGCCGCTACTCCTCGCCATCTCCCTGTTGTGGAGGTCGCGAGCTCGGGGGCCAGGTCCTAAGCTGCCGTGCCACCTGGAAGCCGTCAACCCACCTCTGCGCTGGGGATCCGTCGACCCACCGCTTCGCGGGGAGCCGCCGACCCGCCGCTGTGCCAGAGAGATGCTGAGAGGAACATGGAGGAGCTAGTTCCCGAGCCGCCGGATCTGGCGAGGAGCGGGACGGCGGCGGCACCCCGACGAGGAGGAAAGGGGCTGACGGTAGGGGAGGGGTACGAGGGAGGGTGTGCAGTGATGCTAGTGTGGGGAGGGGAGAGGGAGCGCAGTAGTGAGAGGAGAGGTGCCGTCGGTGGGGAGAGGGAAGGGGAGGTGGCCCGCGGTGGGGGGATGGGAGGGAAAAATGTGAAATTAGGGTAAGGGTTTTTTGGCATCAGCGGTTTTGATGGTTTCGGAATCGATCTGAGCCGTCCATCAAAACGAACAGCTCATATCGATCCCGTGTCGGACCGGCGACATTTCCAGGCCGCACGCACTCAATCTGAAATTAGTTTATCTCTCTCTCTCTCTCTCTCTCTCACAATATTTTAAGTATTTTCTATTTTGAGATATATAGTATCATTTTAATTACTTAAAACTGCTGAAAAACTATAAAAATTCATATAACTTCCTTCCCGAGCCACAGGACTATTGGGCCATCCGCGCTTTATGGGTTATGCGTGCGAATGCTCTAGCAGGCTGGCACGCTTCATGTGTTCTTTTTTTTTCTTTTTTTTAGAACTTTTTTATTTCTTTAGGAATATATTTTATTAAACGCTCATATCATGATAAACTAAACCCTAATAAGCTAATATTTTTATATTTGTTATAATTTTAGTTTATCGGTTGTAACGCACGGGCATTTTATCTACACTACAGCATGTACAGAATTGCCCACGACGTGTGCAGGCAAAAATAGAGAATTAACATCTAACCATCTGTCGTTAAATATTGTGACATTAATTAAAAATATATGAACCTACGTACGTACCGCTGTATTAATTGGGGATAATTAGACCCCGAATGCTTGAATGGGCCATGGCCTGTGAGGAGAAAGAATTAAGATCTACTGTGCAAGTACTGCTCGGCGGTTGGATCTAAGATAAGAACCAGGTGTCTGATCTAGGCCCCACATGCCGGTGGCAAAAATTGTTGATCGATCTTTACTTCAAGGGAAAGAGATCTGACGTCTCATTGGTTTAGCGTTACAATATCTTTGGAGCGACGGATTAGTACACGGGCTAGCTAATTAATTAACCAAACAACATGCTCATTTCCTTTCTTTTCTTTTACATGTAGTGCGATTGTTGTTTTTGGCTACCATGTTCTTTTTGGTGTAGAAGCCTGATCGATGCTTCTGTTCACTGAATGAAATTCTCCATTGAATATTAATTAAGAAGCATCACATATATATGTAGGACGCTGTGCTATCATGATCATGTTTTTTTCCCGTCTACGCATGATCAGATCAATCAGGTCAGGAACCCACCGATCTGACGCATGAACGAGCGCCATTGCTGAGCTCCTGGGAAGTGCGATGAAGAGACTCCAATTATACCCTTTTGCCCAAGCTAGCTAGCTTAATTATTACACACCAAATCACTCTATAATTATAATTATAGCTTGACAGCTCCAGTCATACTCAACGACGACATCTCAAGTGAAAGAATCCATTGGATAGAATTACGACTTTAGGAGCACACAGGCTTTCAGAATTCAGATAGATTTAATGAGACATGTACACATATCTGAATTTCTGAAGTCCATTCCGGCCTGCGTTACTCATTGTTCATCGGCAGTAGCTTCTCCCAAAAGAACAAACAGTGGTCTTCATATTCAGTCTTCCTCTCTTGTCTTCCTCCCCAGCCCCGATATAGTTTTGCGTAAACTGGTCACAAATTCAGCCTCAAATACGCAGACATGAAAAATGATGAACTAGAGGTAATCCTGCATCTATGGACACAATTTGTACGATCAAGCAATTCATTGAGCGCACGGTCCACTTTGCGAAATCCTAACCCAGTTGTAAATGTTAGAAATATAAGCACATGTAAAATTAATTTATTACATAAATAAATCATGACATTAAATGTGAAAACTAGTAGACACACGTCGTATGATCTAGACATGTAAACTAGAAGGTTAAAATATGAACGGATCAAATATGTGAAACATCTTAGGAACGTATCGAAGGTTCTGTTTCTGCCGCGGAAGAGATTCAGCTTGGCGAAGCAGCATGCACAAGAGGAACAACTTAGGGTACAGGTATTGACGTCAACATGTAGCACCCGAACGAAGATGAATATGAGCCATAGTGCACGAACAACGAGCAGTTACGCGAAGTGCTTTCCAAAAACCTTATAAGCGTCTTCTCCCAGTGCAAGACGTTGAAGGCAAAGGTTCCGGAGACTTGCTCTCCCGATCGCAGGTGTACACTGACGGGCGGGATGGAGTAGAATACGAGCGAAGGTGCATTACAGAGAAGAAGGCGAATCCTAGATTGTTTTTGCTTATGTTGTGTGGAGGTGGTGGCTCAGTTTATATAGAGATAACAGGATGCGTGATCAAGATGCCTGCACGATCTCCACACCGTGTAACCGAACCGGATAATTCACGCCTAACCTATTCGGACTCCATGCCGCTTCACGCACCGGATAACTCGGTCTATTTCCAAAAACAAACACCTAGTTTGGCAACAAAGTAAAACTTCAAAAGGAAGCTGTGTCTGCGCACGTATGAGGAACCAATAAAAAGGGGAGGCAGCTGGCTTGCCGTAGAGGAGTACAGTAACGGCATTTGACGTGACATCTAAAAATTATAGAAACAAAACCCGACAAGACAATAAACTTTAGGAAATAAAGGTTCAATTTTTAAATGTTCTAAGGATGTTGAATAGATTCCGTGAAGGTCGGGCAATCAAATAAAAAGGTGGCAAGGAAGTAATAAGGAGTAAGGGTTGCAACATGTGTGACTTCACTATAAAAATAGAAACCCAGGATGATAAGGTTCGGCCTGCGAAAGCGCTAAGACAACAAGATTGTTGTTTATCAAAATTTAAGTAGAATCATGTGTAAAAAATAGATAATTTTGTGGGTGCTAGCCGCGCAATTGCGCGGGGCACCTAACTAGTTATAATGAAAAAAAAGGCTAATTGAAGAAGCCACCACTTTCACTACGTAATATAAGTTATATTACCATGTTAATCGAGAGAAGAGACGGTCATTCACGATCAATCATGCGGGTACATATTTATTATAATGCTATAGATTGATGACATAGTTCTATGCAAATACAAATATTTTTTTTAGAAATGGAATCAACAAAATGCATCAAATACAATTCTAATACTGTATTAACTTTAGCATTAGTATGCCAAAGTCATGCATAAAAGTCAGTAAGTTACCCGGCCTTATGCTCTCTATTTATGGCCATTGGTTATGTAAAATGTCCACTAGTTTACCAAATCAAAGCATTAATTCATATCCTAACCTTAAGTATTTCATCTTCTTTATCCTAGACTCATGTACAGACTTGGTTAGCTTGGCTAACAATGATCACGTGGCTCAAAAACTTAAATCTACGTTTACCAAAACATAAATCTATGTTTATGCGTTGTCACATCTAGGTCTGTGTCTGTGTCTTTTTTGTTGGGTGAACCACTACGTGTCACATTTTCTGTTGGGTGACTATGTGTCAATTTGACAGTGTGCCCTAATGTGTCACGGGTTTATATGGTCCCATATATTATTTGTCCTGCAATTTTTCGGATCTTCTATGCTATAAGCGTTTGAGATATAAATAGCACATGGTACTTCCAATTATTCTACGAGTGCATACAGCTTTATCAAGCATACAAATCAATATAGCTGAAATTTTTTGACACCATATAAAGCTTGTTTTCTATATTTTTTTCCTGGTATTTTCGCAACTATTTGGATTGTATAGAAACAAACCAGAGAACTTCCCTCGTAGTGGTTTGATCAACACTTACTCCACGGTTCAGATATATCACCATATCAGAATTCAGGACAAACGCTAGACGCCTGGAAGCCCTGGACGATGCAAAGAGATTTATTAGCAGTAAAAGTGGGCATCATGCATGATCAGCCGCATCATATCCTGGGGCCTTGATGAATTAATCGGTCGCTCGTTGCTTTGTTGGAACAGTACTCCCTGACATGTACGTTCTAGGTGCAAATATGACTTCATCGATCTGACATATGTAGGAGCAATAATATGTTTGCCGGTTCGGTGAATTATCCTCCTCTCCGACCGGCCGGAAGCTTTAAACAAAGAAATTCAGTGTCATCAGTAGCTAGCTTCTTCTCTGGTACATATATATGTTCCCCTTTTCACTATAATTTTCAGATCAATATATATATTATCATAATGAATGCACATACTGCACTTGGTGACACAAGCAAACTGGTGATGAAAGAAACAGGGCCATGATTATCGATCGATCGGTGCATGCTGTCAGCACATCGATCAGTAATTGGCAAACCGATCGATCGATGAAAAAAGCTCAAGTTCAGAGGAGACACTGTGTGTGCCTGGTATAGCTGCTGTTGTGTGCTGCTGCTGCTTCCCTCTCGCTGATTAATCAATTT